GTACCAGTGAAGCACTGCGGACGGCGTACGTAGACCTGCTCATGTAGGCTGCCCTGAAGAAAAGTCGTGGAGAAGTCGAGGGAGTGAAGCTCGTAGTCACACTATGCTGCTACGTATAGCAGCGCCCGAAGAGTAGTCATCTTCGGGGTCGGAGCGAAGGTCTTAAAGAAGTCCACCCCCTCACGCAGACTGAATCCTATAGCGCGCCTTGAACACAGGCGGCTCTCCAGGGGGCGCTTCACCTTGAAGAGCCACATGCCATCGACTACGTTCACCCCATGCGGGGGAACTGCGTCGATGTAGGTGCCGGTGGATCTCCATGATGCCATTTCCTGCTCCATCGCAGCTATCCACTGAGAGGGCCAGGGTCCCGAGGTTGCCTCAGCGTAGGTGCGAGGGGTCGGGATGTCAAAGGCATCTGGCTCACCCTCAGGGACTAGCGGTATGAAATAGAATTGGGAAGCAGCCTCAGACAGGAAAGCAAGCTTGTACTGCCTGTCCTCTACGACTTCACTGCCAAGGACAGCAGCACCCCCGACGGACAGAGGACGGGCACGATCAGAGACCAAAGCGGTGGCGTAGTCAAGGCGGCGGGTAGAGGCAAAGTTAGCGATAGCAGCGACAAGAGTGTCAAGAGGACTAGCGGCATGGAGGTAGTCAGACGGGTCGGTAACGAGGGAGGCAAGGACCGGAGGAACAAGAGGACTAGCGGCAGAGAGGTAGTCAGACGGAGCGACAACAAGCGAGGATGGAGGAGGCGACGGGAGGAGGGGAGGATGAGACGTGTGGGAACAGAGCAACATAGGGTGCCAGCAGTGAACGGGGGAAATAGGACGAGCACGGGAGGTGCAACGAGACCAGGCGTGAGAAGGAGGTGTCGGGTCAGGAGACAGGGGAGGAGACACATAAGGAGAACGAGGGGAAAGACGAGCCGGAGATGAGTCCGGCGGAGGAAAGACAGGGCTGTAGATAGGAAGAGGAGGAGGGGGCGGGGGAGGCGCAGGCGAGCGGTCAAAGGAGGGAAGGCCGAGCAGGCGAAGGGCGGACACCGGCGGTGACTGCTGGTGCGGCTGCTACTGCTGCTTCTCCACGTGAACGCCTGAACCTCCAGCTACACCACTGCTACCTCCAAGAAGCTCCACTCAAGCACCCCGAGAACCAACCTCCTCAGAACAAGAACCCTCTCTAGCACCGGTGCCACCCCCGAGACTGCCGAGACAAGCCACAACAGTAACCCGAGGACTAGCACCCCTTAAACCAAGACCCTCTCCAACACCTGCACCACCCCCAGAGCCCACGGACGGCTGTTGCGGCTGCGGCGGCAGCGACGGCTGCGGCTACTGCGGCGGCGGCGACGGCGGTGGAGGAGGAGATACCGGGGCAAAAACAGGTGGCAAAAACTGCACCGCGTGGCCACCGAAGTCAGCCGACTCCTCAACCGGGACAACCGTGGGGACGAGAGTGACGTGAGACACACCAGACGGGGTAGGACGGGGGGGAGGGGGGGCAGGGGCTACTAGGGGGGTGGGAACCAGAAACAGGGGCGGGGAAGCCGGAAGACCTTGGTGGGGAAAGCGGTTGTAGAAGGAGACAGACTCGTCAAAAGTGACGTTACACGAGTGAAGGAAGTGGTGAGACGGGGGATGGTAAAAGTGCAGTCAGATGGGTAAGAGGGAAAATGAGGAAGACACAAGGGACAGTGCGGGCAGTGAGCTTTTGCGTGCCGGAGGCACGAACGTGAGCGAGCTATCCCTAGACATGGAACGCAGACACATCACCAGGGAACCCGGTCCAATAAAGGGTCGGCAAAACCTGCGGCTGCTGGGAGCGCGGCCACAGGTTAAGCTGGTGAGCGGCGTAGCGAATAGTGAACGACCACAGAAAATGGAGTGCACCGGCATGAATCCTTGAGGTACGAGCCACCTCCATGACCAAACCGATGTGTCGCTTAGCGATCCTATTCTGCTGCGGGGAGTTCGGTAGGGTGTACGACTGGGTGATGCCTTCCATACGACAGAACTGTCCAAGCCGACCGGAGGTGAACTTGCCGCTACGGTCAGTGCGGAGACACAGCATAGGGAGACCGCGGTAGAGATGTGCAGCTACGAACCACTGGATAAGGACATCAGGCACGTCGGCCATCCGCTCTAAGGGGAACACCGTGGTGTAGCGCGTGAAGTCGTCGACGAGCATGAGAAAGTAGCACTCGCGACGAGGTCCAGGGACGGGGGCTGGGCCCCAGACGTCTAGGTGCAGGGTCTGAAAGGGTGCGGCAGCAGGACGAAGCGAGAAGGAGCGAGGAGCGAGTGTGGAGCCTAGGCTAGACAGGGCAAACGGTCCTACGCCTGACGCAGTTGGGGAGTCTGTACTACACACAGGTGCTACGCCTAAGCTATATAACACAGGGTAATAAAATATGGATACACTAGAAGCGTCAGCATACAGAGAATGCATGGCAGAACTAATATGATCCATGTCTAAGTCAAAGACATGCACACCGTGGCGCAGCAGAATCGGCCAGTCAGGGAGGTCCGGGGCCGGGCCAAAGTGGCGACGAAAGAGGTCGTCGAGGCAACGGAAGCAGCGGGCGGTCGAGTGCGGGAGGAGGAACACGGTGCCGCGGAGGGGCCCGCTCTGGAGCTGGTATTCGCAGCTGACAGTACCTAGGCCATTGGTAGATGCCGAGCTGTGCTGGCCGCCACCGCCTCAAGAGGCTCCTGGCCAGCCCGGCGGGAGGCGGTCCCACGGCTGCTGATGCTCCTGTAACTGCTACTGCTAGGGCTGCTCCTGGACACCACCCCCAACCCCCTCGTCAGAACCACTGTCATCGACACCACTACTATCACCACCAGCGCCACCACCTCGCCCTCCCTTGGGGCCGCGACTGCCCCGACGCCGTCGCTGCTGCGGGGAGACCGCAACGGCGGTCTCAGCAGCAGGGGCAGCCATAGCCACTGCGGCGGAAACGTCAGCTTACGTGCACTGGGAGAGAGCACAGCCCTGAAAGATAGGGACTGCCGCAACACCGCTCGACTGAGCGATAGTGCGCTGGCGAGTCTCTATCTCAAACAGGGCAGTGACAAAGGCGGTCAGGGTAAGGTCACCAGGGTGCTGGCTAAGGAACTAGTCGCGGGCAGTGGCTAAGCGATCAGGCAGGCGCGTGACAATAAGGTATAGGGTAGCGCAAAACGGTGGGGGGAAGGCAGTGAGCTGGGCGGCAGTGCTAGCAGCGCGGTAGCTAGTCTCTAGTGCACGGAGGTGAGTGGCGAGGAAAGCGACATTGGGAAACGTGGCAAGATCTGGGATCAACATGGGTAGGATCAGGCGGCCAGCAGAGGTAGAGGCAGGCGTGGAGTAGCGAGCAATTGCTGCATCTAGGAAATCCTTGGCGTTTGCGACAGCAGTGAAGCGCGGACGCTCAGACAGGGGAAGAGCATAACTAATAGTGAGCTGCGCTACAGCATCGCGGGAATCCCAGACAGTGTGAGCAAGCACAGCAACAGAGAAAGCCTCACGCTCAGCAGTGGTGGGACCAGCAAGGAGGGGATCAGGCGCGGGGGGCTGGGGAAGCAAGCCATCAACATGCACAACCAGGGAGTGCCCATCGTGGCGCTGACCTATCAGGTGCGGACAAAGATCGACAAGCCATTCGGCGAACCGGGCGGGCTACGCGAGGGGCGGACGGCCGGCGGTCTGCGGGCGCGCTAAGGGCCGGCGGGTATGCGGCCGGCGGAGGCGCTAGGGGCCGGCGGGTACGCGAGGGGCGGGTGAGGCGCGCGAGGGGCCAGCAGGTGCTCTAGGGGCCGGCTGGGACGCTAGGGCCGGCGGGAACGCTAGGGGCCGATGAAGTGCTAGGGCTAGGGAACGTCGGAGCAGTAGGCTATGGCGAGGGGGGGAAGCGGGTGGGCGGACCTAACCTTCTATGATACCATGTTAGGATACAAGAATGACTAGAAACAGGAGAGAACAAGGGAGATATAGGGTTGGAGTTTTACCCCCTAAGAACTCAAGCCTATCTAGCCTATAACTTCTACATACAAACAGGTAGATACGTTGATAGTGTCAACATATAATAAAGTATATTAAAGGCTAGCTAGGTGCATGCTTCTATAGGGTACAACCCATTAGACGACATCCCCTTGTACAATCTCAGTCTAGTCATATTTTCTTACGCTCATAGCCCCATCTGCGGCATGCCATGGGGGTGCACGGGCTAGGGGGTGCAAGGGCATGGGGGTGTTGCGGGTTGGGTGGGCTTGCCACTACCAAGCCTACGGGGTGTGTCAAGTTATGTATTTTATATATTTAATTGTTGAGGCTTGGTAGGCTTTCTACAAGCTGGATCCTACTGTAGAGGGGACAACCCGCCCTTTTTCTATCTCCTCTTCCTTCCTAGTCCCTCTCTTTTCTCTCGTAACTTCTCCCCCTAGCTAAACCTCTCGCCATTCCATGGCTTCCTAGCTACCTAGTTATTTCAACAGCAAGATGTATGCCAACCATGGAATCTCCATGTAGTGCTGGACATCCCATCGATTCACAAGAATGCTTGTTCATATTATATATTACAAAGATGTTGAATAGGTGAAATGGTTTCCTTTCCGGCTGGCAATGCACTCGACTACGGTATGTAGCGCAGTGGAGCATACCTTATCGCTTCCCCATCCACCATCCCCCGATTTTGCCGTGGTTTTCCCAGCCAATCCGCTATTGCTGTTTCAGTCACAGTACATATGCAGTTCGTTTCGTGGGGTAGGTTTCGTGATGTTTTGTGAAGGTCTGATGAGGATGCAGAACGGTCGAATACGGTTCTAACTGCGTGGGTACTCGTGCGACGCCCTTAGGGATTGACGAACTGCTTCAGGGAAAATTGAGAGTCGAGTCAGCACAGGAGACTCGGACTGATAGGGGATCTCGAGAGACAGCTCATTTCAGTCATGCTACACACACGCAGCACCCCTCCTGATAGGGTGAGTCATGTTCGAGCAGACTTTTCGAACTGGTTGAACACGGTACTGGTTGTTTCAGTAAAATACAGTGCGGTTCAGAGTGGTACCCGTTCGAGCAGACCCTCATGGAACGCCGATGTACCACGCCCGTAGTGTCCACTAGTCGTCGTAGTTAGCCCGATCCATGTTTTAGGTTGCGATTAGAGGCAGGAGTAGGGGTTACGCGGGTTCTGCGGAGGCAGGAGCACTGTCGTAAGAGTGATCGCGCTGCGTTGATTTACGGAACCCTAATGCTTAGGTGGTGTTGAGTCGCCTCATTGCGTGAGCCGTGAGCCCCGTCCTGTAACCCTAATGCGTGAACTATGCGCCCTGCTCGGTAACTAGAGCGTGTGCCGGGGTGAACGTGGGAGATCATTCGTCATCGGGTTTCGCGAGTTAGGGCGATATCAGGCTCCCACGAGGAAGGAGCGTTAAAATAGGTAGCATCCTGCTGGGAGTTAAAACAGGAGTTTAGCTGACATAATGCTGAAACGCGCAGCAGTTTAGGAGAGGCCCCGCTGGGTCATACGCTTATAGTTGTTTAGCCTTGGGGTGTTTCTAGATTCAAGGAGGAGTCTTTAAAAAGCAAAGCGAGGCGACGCGAAATGGGGGACAATCAGGAGGGAGAGGACGCCAGGAGTAGGACCCAACGACCCGGCCCCACGTCTCCGTACCGCCCTCGGCAATCCCGAGGTCATAATGTCAAAGAGACGACGCCTGAGTCGGCTCCACAGACGTCTCCGTACCGCCCTCGGCAATCCCGGGGAGTCACTAGTAGTGAAGCGACTCCCGATTCGACTCAACACAAGTCTCCCTACCGCTCTCGGCAGTCTCGAGGTCCTAATAGTAATGAAACGACTTCTGAGTCGGCTCAGCAGAAGTCTCCGTACCGCCCTCGGCAATCTCGAGGTGTCAAAAGCGACGCCTCGTCGTCTCCCTCTGATCGGCCGTCGGCTGATGGACCAACTCCCGCCGCCGACTCCGGCGAGGCTCCGCTACAGGTATCTCCGCTTCAAGTTCCTCTGCTACAGGTACCTCCGCTACGGGTACAGTTTGATTTACGCTATAGTGGTACCCGATACATGCCATTAGGGTTTCCAGAATGTTCCGCACGGCCGTCGGCAAATGTGCCAACTCCCGCTGCCGACTCCGGCGAGGCTCCGTTACAGGTACCTTCTTTACAAGTACCGGCGCTTCAGTTATCTCCGCTGTATCTCTGCTTCAGGTATCTCCGTTATAGGCGTACCCGATATATTCTTGTAGCCTAAGAAACATAAGTCCTTGCGAAGCAACCCCTGCTGCCGATTCCGGCGAGTTTCCGCTTCAGATACCTTCCATCCGCGCTGTAGAGATAACGCGATGTATGCACATCGGGTTTCCAGGTAGGACGCTTTAGCGGGCTCGAGCATAGGATGCCCTTATCTGTCGTTTTTTTCGTCACATTTCGCTCTGTCCATCGCCTCGCTACTGTTTTTGTTTTTGTTTTTGTTTTTTGGTTACAAAATGTCCCTGTTTCGCCCGTTTCGCAGCTGGGGTTCCTCGCGACGCTCTCCAAGTCCAAGAAATGGACGGACGACGACCTACCGGCGACAGACGCGCGACCAGAACACGCCTCCGCGAACGCCTCGTCGTCGTCGCACGCGTCGCGGCCAAAGCTGATGCGATCGAAGGCGTCAGTCGCACGGGCACCTGCTGCAGGATCGGACCCAGAAGAGAACCCAGGAACGAACCTGGGAGCGAACCCAGGGCCGCACGCAGGGCCGACCCCAGGGTACGTCCACGGCCATACGCACGTGCGCAAGCCGCGACGCCTCGCAACCTCCGCGACGGTCTCCGGAGGGGGAGGCAGGGCGGAAGGCGGAGGGGGAGGCGGAGGAGGGGGAGGCGGCGCAACGTTCGCGGATATAGGCAAGCGGGGGAAAGCTTCCGCGTCTGTTTCCTCCGGGGGCGAGGGCGGGGGGAGGAGACGGGCAGGCGCAGGGGCAGGCGGAGGGGGAGGCACAGGGGGAGGCGCAGGGGGAGGCGGAAGGGGAGGCAGAAATCTTACCCCCTTGTCCACCGGAGGGGGCACCCCTACGAGCAGTTTCCACGAGAACGGGGAGGGCGGGGGGGGAAGCAGCAGTGAGGCGGGGAGCGGGCGCAGCAGAGGGAGAAGCCCTTTCCAGTATTATGACGATGATGATGACGATCTAAGCAGCCATGCTGACTCGGAAATGGAGGTAAATTTCGAGGAGGTTTTGGGCCCGGCGTCGGGGTTTAACTGGATCACCAGCATCAGCGCCGCGTCTACCCCTTCGTCCACTTCTTCGTCGAATAGGGTTACCCGGTTCGCCCCGAGCACCCCCCCGCATCCCCTGGCGTCTGGGGTGCACCCGTCGTTTGCGAGTAACGAGCATGGGGTGCTCGCATCGGCAGCAGCAGCAGCAGCGGCAGTGGCAGCAGCGGGGGGAGGAGTGGGGGCAGCGGGGGGAGCAGCAGGGAGTGGAAAGGAGGCGTTTAAGACTGAAGTAGAAGTATTTATGAGGCAGTCGGAGGGGGTAGTGGGGCTGCACCTTCTAGAGGGGCTTGCGCCTAGGGGCTCCAAACGAAAGCAGACTAAAAAGAAGGTGCTTGTAAGGAAAGTGAGGGAGGAAACGAAGAAGATGGACTTTTGGGGGGAGGGGAGCGGGAGTGAAGACGGGAGGAGGCCCGGGAGGAGGAAGGCGAAAGGGGGGAAGGCGGGGGCGGAAGGGGAAGGGGGGAGGTGGTTGAGCGGAAGTTTGGGAGTTTGGGGGAGAGGAGGAGGCGGGAAAAGGGGGGGGAAAGGCGGGGGGAAAGGCAGGGGGGGCAGGAGGGGCAGGGGGGGCAGGGGGGCAGGGGGGGACGGGGCGGAAGGGGGAGAGGGGGTCGGGGGGAGCGTATTGAGGGGAGGAAGTCGGGGGAAAAGGGGAGAGTCGGAAGAAGGTGGAGGGGGAGGGGAAGCGGGAGATGAGGGGGAGGAAAGCACGGGGAAGGAACGTAGAAGCTTCAAAGAACTGGGGGAGAGGGAGGACGGCAGGGGGAAGGGCAGGAAAGGGCTGGGTTACGGGGGGAGTAAGTCAGTAGCAGCAGCAGCAGTGCGTAGGGCTAGGCGGAGCACGTCTAGTGGGGGGGAGGGGGACATTACTGGTGTGAGTAGTGGCGAGGGGGATAGTGCTGCCACTGGTGAAACGAGTGAGACAGGTGGGGCAGGTGGGGCAGGTGAAAAGACCTCGTTTGCTGCCCTGGGCAGAGCTAAAAAGGCTCCGGGCAGGTTATCTGTAGCGAATCCTGGCGGCGGGGATGGCTCCGTGGTTGATCCAGCAGAAGATGAAGGGTCTTTCATTGCCCTGGGCAGGCGAAATTCCCGAGAGAACCTGTCAGCTGATTTGGGCAGGTCGAAAAATGATGCGCTGACCCCGAAGGGATCTACTACCCCCCGGTTGGCTGGGCTACCAGAGGTTAAAAAAAATCTGGAGGAGGAGGAGGATTTAAGTAAAGTGGCAGGTGTGGCAAAGAAATGGGTGAAAAAAAGCAAGAATGCCAAGGAGGGCGATGAGGGAGGGGAGAGTGACGAAGAGGAAGGGGCGATCGTTGGTTTTGGAACCCAGGTGAAGGATGCAAAGAGAGGAATTGGGGGGTCGAAAGGAGTGGGAGTCTCTTGGGAGGGGTTGAAATCGGCTGCTGGGCTGATAGGGGGAGGGGTTGGGGAGGAGGGTGAAGATAAAGCAGGCGGAGGAGCAGGAGGAGCAGGAGGAGCAGGGGGGGCAGGGGGGTCGTTATCTGGGAAGTTGGGAGGGGGAAAAGGGGGTGGGGCGGGGCCGGATCTTTACCCCGGCCTCCCCTTACCCCCTGGCCGCGCCCGCCCTAAGACTCCCCCTCCCCTCGGCGCCTCAGTTGGAAATGCCGCTTTAAAGGCTCCTCCCCCCCCCCACCCCCGCCTCCGCCTCCTCCTGGGGGCAAAGGTGCGCCTCCCCCGCCCCCTCCGCCTCCCCGTCCCCCCGGCGCCAAGGGACCCCCTCCCCCTCCGCCGCCACCAGGCTCCAAAGGCCCCCCTCCGCCCCCCCCTCCCCCTGGGGGAAAAGGTCCCCCCCCGCCCCCGCCTCCCCCAGGCGCAAAGGGGGCGGGGCCTCCCCCTCCCCCGCCTCCCCCAGGTGGCAAGGGGGGACCTCCCCCTCCGCCCTCGCCTGGGTTCAAGGGGAAGGGTCCGCCTCCACCCCCTGGGGGGGTGTTTGGGGGTAAGAGAGCGCTGGTCGACTGGGGAGGAGTGACAAACGCGGATGGCACTATATGGGCCTCGTAAGCTGGGGAGTTTGCTGAATGGGGGTGTTGAGTTGGGGAATTGGTTTCTGAATTGGGAGAAAGAGGGTGGTGGTTGACTTGGGGGGAGTGAGTGGCAAACGCGGATGGCACTATATGGGCATGGCAAGTTGGGGAGTTTGCTGAATGGGGGTGTTGAGTTGAGGAATTGCTATTTTGAATTGGCTTTCATCACCCCCGTTTCCCCCAATCCCCCCCCCAATCCCCCCCCAATCACCCCCAATCACCCCCAATCCCCCCCAATCCCCCCCAATCCCCCCCCCAATCCCCCCCCCCAATCCCCCCCAATCGCCCCCCCAATCACCCCCAATCGCCCCCCCAATCACCCCCAATCCCCCCCAATCCCCCCCGGTTCCTCTCGACCTTCACCTGGAACCCGACCCCTGATCTCTGAGTCGACTCAAACTGATTTTTGAGTCGACTCAAACTGATTTTTGAGTCGACTCAAACTGATTTTGGAGTCGACTCAAACTGATTTTGGAGTCGACTCAAACTGATTTTTGAGTCGACTCAAACTTCACCTGGAACCCGACCCCTGATCTCTCTCCCTCTTTCTCGGAACTCCCTACACATCCAACTCCAGCAAGCTGGCCTTTGACATTGATATTGGCGAGCCGAGGACGCAGTTTAAGCCCAAGGCTCTACCTATTTCCCTTGTCCCCTTGTCCCCTCATCCTAACTCTCGGCCCTCTTCCCCCCCTCCTCCCACCAGCGAGTTTGCCTTTGACATGGATATGACATTCGCGAGCTAAGGAAGCAGTTTGAGCCCTTGACTCTTTCTCTCTCCCTTGTCCCCTTGTCCCCTCATCCTAACTATCGGCCCTCTTCCCCGCCTCCCCCTACCAGCGAGCTTGACTTTGACATTGATATCGGAGAGCTGAGGCAGCAGTTTGAGCCCAAGGCCAAGGCTGTTTTTAAGAAGGCGGAGCAGCCTGTGAAGAAGCAAGTCATCCGTATTGTAAGTGTTGCATCCGCGCTATAAGCTGTGCTGCACTAGCAGTTTGAGCCCAAGGCAAAGACTGTTATCAAGAAGGCCGAGCAGCCTGTGAAGAAGCAAGTCATCCGCATTGTAAGTGGACGCACTGCGCTGTAAGCCAGGCTTTATTCCTGCAGCTATAGCCGTTTGAGCTCAAGGCCCACGCTCATACGAAGAAGGCCGAGCAGCCTGTGAAGAAGCAAGTCATCCGCATTGTAAGTGTTGTAAGTTGTATCCGCGCTATAAGCTGTGCACTAGCAGTTTGAGCCCAAGCCCCCGGTTGCATTCAAGAAGGCCCAGCAGCCTGTCAAGAAGTAAGTGATCCGCATTGTAAGTGGAATATCTGTGCTATAAGGTGACGTACTTGTGGTCTATCCGCGCTAAAAGCTGGGCACTATTGTCCAATGGTAGCAGTTTGAGCCCAATGCAAAGACTCCTCTCAAGAAGGCTGAGCAGCAGGTCAATATTGCTGGGAAGTAGCAGATCATGTGTGTTGTAAGTGTGGTGCTGACTGCGGTGTATTTTGAGTCGACTCAAAATACACCAGATCATGTGTATTGTAGGTGTGGTGCTGACTGCGGTGCACGCTAGGTTCTATTGTTGGGGTGATAGCAGTGAGCCCCAGGCCTCGTCACGAGTGAAAATGGCCGAGCAAGCAGCCAGAAAAGAATCAAGTAATTCGTATTGTAAGAGGTGGGCAAAACGAAGGGCGAAGCAACATGAAGCTGGTTGGGATAAAGTCTCATCCCTGTTCTCCTGCTGCGTGCATCCCCCCGTTTCTCTTCCCCCTTCCCCCCCCTCTCCCCCCCCCCATCCCTTCCCCCTATCCCTGTGCTCACAGATCGACATGCAAAAGTCACGGAATGTGGAGATCTCCCTTCGCAGCATGAAGCTTCACCCGAACGATCTAGTGGTATGGACCCCTCTTCCCCCCTCCACTCACCTCTCTTGAGTGGTATGGACCCCTCCCCCCCCCCCCGTCCACTCGCCTCTCTCTCTCCAACCCCACCAATTTGTGGGATGACTGTGCTGCCCCCCTCCCCCCCTCCCCCCCCCCTTTTCCGTCGGATCTCTCTCTTTCCATCCGTTCCTCTCATCACTGTCGCTGCTGCCACACAGTCATTTCGGCACGCTGCGATTTCCATTGTGCAGCCAGGAGTGAGCAATTTCATCTCCCTCCCACCCATCCAGGTCGCTGTGCTAAGTAGTTTGGACACGTCCACCATAGGTTTGTGGTGGTGCGCCAGCCTGGTTTCTCCCACCCACCCACCCACATGCCCGCTCAACCAACTGTCATCTTGCCCGCCCCTTTGCACCATCCAGGTCGCTGTGCTGAGTATTGTGGATACGTCCACCATAGGCGAGTGGTGTGAAGAGACTCCTGCGCCCCTTGAGAAGTTGTTGTCATCTCAAAACCCGCTCCCCCCTTCCCCTCTTCTTCCCCCCCTCCCTCTCCCATACTTCCCCCATCCCCCCCATCTCCCACCATCCAGGTCGCTGTGCTGAGTGTTGACACGTCCACCATAGGCGAGTGGTGCGACAGCCTGGTGGAAACCCTGCTCAAGTATGGCCCAGACGACAAGGAGAAGAGGCTGCTGCGGGTGAGAGAGTCTCAGGCGCATTGCGCACGTATGGCACGTGTGTGTTGGGTTTGTCTGTGGCGCATGCGTGTTTATGGGATGAGGTGCGACAGCCGGGTGAATACCCTACTGATGTAGGGTCCGGACGACAGGGAGAAGAGGCTGCTGCGGAGGGTGAGTCACAGGTGTAGCTGTCTGTATGTATGTAGGGTGCATGCGTGGGTGGGTGGGTTATTGTACACGTGTGCGTGGGATGAGTGGTGCGACAGCCTGCTGTGGGCTCTGTTGGACCTCGAGTCAGGGAGAAGAGGCTGCTGAGGGTGAGACCTAATGTGTGTGTGCATATATGGTTAGACATGGGCATGAGCCGAGCCTAGCTCGGCTTGGCTCGTCCAGGGGTCGAACCGAGCCGGCTCGCCGTCGAGCTTGGCTCGGCTCAAGCCGAGCCGGGCACCAAACATCCCTGGCTCGGCTCGCATTTCTGTGGGCGAGCCAGGGCTGGCTCGACGGCGAGCCGGCTCGGCTCGGCTCGCCTAGCACGCGCTTTGCGTAAGATTCCTCGCGCTAACTAACCTAATGATAGGGCTCGCAGAATTGACGCGCTCGGAATTCTAGGGTTCGCGGAATTGACGCGGGAAGTGGATTGTGAGGAGGAAGGAGGGTGTTAGAGGTTAGGTTGTAAGTCGTAGATGCAATAGAGTGCAGTGCGGTTGAGCGGGGCAAAAGGGCTGGATGGGTTTTTAGGTCGTCAAAGTTTGGGATTGCGAATTGGCGAATGTCTGGTGGAATTCGCCAGGTCGCAGTGTCGCAGACAAAAATCCCGCGTCAATCATTTTGGGCAGGCGTTTAGCGTTTACCCATTTAAACGCAGCGTTTAAACTAAACGCTAAAGGCTGCCCCGCCAGAGCGTTTGCGGGAACATAGACTAGGAGGAGTTGTTGGAGGTCACGTATTGTCGAGGGGGAAATTTTACCCTTGAAATTGAATGGCGAGCCACCAGGCTCGAAATCGAGCCGGGGACGAGCCGGCTCGACCTGGGCTCGACGAGGACATTGTGTACGAGCCGAGTCGAGCCGGATCACAAACAAAAAGGCTCAGCTCGCCAAAAATGGCGAGCCGAGCCGAGCCGAGTCGGATGTGGCTCGGCTTGTGCCCATGTCCATATATGGTGCATGGATGTATGCGTGGCGCACACCTGTGGCGAGGTGAGTGGTGTGACAGCCTGGTGGAAACCCTGTTGAAGTATGGCCTGCACGACAAAGAGAAGCGGCCGCTGAGGGTGAGTCATATAGTGTGTGGTGCATGCATGTATGTGTGCATACCTGTAGCTGAAACTCCGGTGAAGTATGGCCGGGACGAGAGGTAGAAGAGGCTGAGGAGACACAGTACAAGAGATCACTGTTGGCCGAGTGACCACAGGTCCACAGCTGGCCAAGTGATCACTGTTGACCAAGCGATACAGACCGGATTTTTTAGTGGACTCCAACTTTTGAGTCGACTCAAAAGAGGGAGAAGAGGCTGCTGAGACACAGTACAGGAGACACAATTGGCCAAGCGATACAAACCAGAGATCCGGTTAGTACACTGAGATTTAAACTCTGGTGGCACAGTTGTATTTGTGGGTGGCTTATTACACACGCGTACAAGAGATTTTAACTCAGCAATCTGTTATGAGTCGATTTTTGAGTCGACTCTAGAATAGACTCATAACACAGATATTTGACTCAGCAGCAGTCATCTTGTCTCATTCCCTTGCTTCTATGCATCCATCTCACCATTCCTCCTCATATTTTTGGGGCGCCTAAAAAATTGCCTCCATCTCACCATTCCTCCTCATTCCTTCTCCCTCTCTCCATCCCCCACCCCCCCCCCCCTCCTTGTCAGGAGTTCAAAGGGAACGTGGAGGACCTGGGCCCTTGTGAGCAGGTGCGTACTGGGGGAGGTAGTTATAACTGGTGGGGAAGGCATGTACTAGGTGACTACTACTGGGGATGTGGCTGCTGGTACTAGGGGGTATCCAGTGTTCTCCTCTCACCACCTCCCTGTCAGGAGTTCATGGGAAGGTTATAGTTCTTTAAGAATCCTAAAAGAACGGACGGTGGAGGATTTGGGCCCATGCGAGCAGGTGCGTGCTGGGGAAGGTAACGACTGGTGGGGAAGGTTCTATCTTGTGGGGAAGATAGCTACTGGGGGGGAGGAAGTGAATAGTGGGGAAGGTAGCTGGCCGATGCTGGAGTAGGTGCCATTTTCTTTCCCCCCGAGCGCGGAGTGTGCTTTCGCGAGGACTGCTGACTCCTCTTAAGTGGAGTAATTTATGAGAATTCTAAAAAATGTCTCCACTTTTGCAAGGACCTCCACTGATTCCTCTTCCCCCTTCTCCGCCCCCATCCCACCCCCCACACCTCTTCCTAGTGCTATTGAGGGTGCACCAAGCGGGGATCACTAATTTTTCTGCCCTTTCCCTCCTGTTTTCAAGGCGCCTAAAACATATTGAGGGTGCACCAAGCAGGGATCACTAAATTTTCTGCCCCTTCCCTCCTATTTTCAAGGCGCCTAAAACATATTGAGGGTGCACCAAGCAGGGATCACTAAATTTTCTGCCCCTTCCCTCCTATTTTCAAGGCGCCTAAAACATATTGAGGGTGCACCAAGTGGGGATCACTAAATTCTCTGCCCCTTCCCCCTTTCGCCAATCCCCCTTTCGCCAATCCCACTCATCCTCTGCCCACAGCTCTTCCGAGCGCTGCTGGGGGTCCAGCGACTGGAGCCCAAGCTGAAGGTCTTGCAGTACAGAATATTCCTGGCGGAGAGGGTGAGTGGGCGGGTTTAGGGTCTAGGAGTTCATTGAACAGGCAGACCAAGCGTGAGTGGCGGGGTGATAGAGAGGGTGCATGGGATGGGCAGAGAGCATCAGTGGGATGGGGCAGAGAGGGTGAGTGGGATGGGGCAGAGAGGGTGAGTGGGATGGGGCAGAGAGGGTGAGTGGGTGGGTGCGCGTGCAGGGTATTTCTGTACCGACTAGATTTGAGGCGATCAAAGCTCAAAGCTCCGGAGTCCAGAGCGTTCCTGGAAGAGAGGGTGACTGGGAGTGGGTGGGGCAGAGAGGGCGAGTGGGTGGGTGATAAAGAGGCTGAGTGGTGGTTTTTTTATAGAGTTAGCTGAGTAGCTGAGGGTGGGTGGGTGCAGACGCAATCAAGTTGGTCACTCACTTTTCGCCGCACTCCCTCATCACTCTCCTCATTCTTCTCTCTTCCTTCCCTTCCCCCTCGCTCCCGTCTCTCCCCTCGGCTCCCTTTCCCTCTCCTTCCCCCTTTCCCTGCCCCAATGTCGACCAGGCGCCAGAGCTTGCAGACACAATCAAGTTCGTCACTCTGGTTTCACAAAAGGTACGCTCTCTCACCTTCTCTCCCCTCCTCTCCCCCCCCCCTCTTTCCCCCAACCCGCCCCCCCTCCCTGCCCCCCTTTCCTGTCTCCCCCTGGCCCCATCCCCACTGCCTCCGTCAAATTGCTGGTAACCTGCTCCTTATTGTCACATGTTTCTTTTGAGTCGACTTATGATTCACCCTGCCACTATCTCATACCCTTTCCCTAATGTCACATGTTTCTACCATCATATCCGATCCCTGTGCTGTGCTTCCCCCCCTTCGTTTCGCCTGTTGCATCCCTCAACGCTCGTTCCCCTAGATCCAGGAGTCCCATAAGCTGCAGCACGTGCTGCTGGTGGTGCTTCTTGGACTCAGCTAAAGAAGCAACCCCGTATCTCCGCCCACCCCCTCAGCCCCCCTCCCCCCCCTTCCTTTTGGTCTTTTGCACCCTTCAACCCTCGTTCTCCCAGATCCAAGAGTCCCAGAAGCTGCAGCACGTGCTGCTGGTGGTGCGAGACATTGGCAATAAACTCAATGAAGGAACCAAGAAGGGTGAGTGGGGATGTGGGGTAGGGCCTTTCCTGCTGCTCTGTAGGGCATGTTCCCTCTGCCCTCTGGGTAGTTACCCTCTGCTATTGCACATTCCGGGGTAGACATGGGCATGAGCCGAGCCTGGCTCGGCTCGGCTCGTTTGGGGTCGAGCCGAGCCGGCTCGCCGGACGAGCCGGCTCGGCTCGCCTCGAGCCGGGTCCTCAGGATCCCCGGCTCGGCTCGTGGAAATGGGTCGAGCCGGGGCCGGCTCGCCGGCGAGCCGGCTCGGCTCGGCTCGTCAGGGGGGCTTGTGTGGGCTCTCAATTGGAGCCACGGGGTTTGGGGTCTCTAGTACAGGGGATAATCCAGATTGTTTAGCTGATCGTCTAGTTCTACGTCTTACAAAACTATCAGGAGGAGCTGCAGGTTTAAAGAGGGCTGGCTGAGGTCGATAGACTAGGGCGACAGGGTGAGGTTAGGGTTGGCAGACAAAATGGGCGCGAGGGGGGTTTGTCGATCTGAAATTTGACAGTCGCGAAACCACCTTTTCCCTAGCCGCGAGCCGGCTGGCTCGAAAACGAGCCAGCTCGAGCCGGCTCGACTCCGGCTCGCTGATTATGTGTGCGACTTACCTGGTCAATCCGTCGTCACGTTTCTACCTTGTCAATCCAATGTTTTCCGTCCCCTCTTGACGTCTTTTGAGTCGACTCAAAAGTCACATTGTTTTCAGAGGTGACTTTTGAGTCGACTCAAAAGTCACATTGTTTTCAGAGGTGACTTTTGAGTCGACTCAAAAGTCACCACATTGTTTTCCGTCCCCTCTTGACCTCTTGGCTGTAAGCTTGCAATAAGTCTGGCCTTTTTGCTTGCATGATTCCGTACCATGGCAATTGCAATTGCCTTGGCATTGGCATGGCACTAATCTGGCCTTTTTGCTTGCATGATTCCGTACCATGGCAATTGCAATTGCCTTGGCATTGGCATGGCACTAATCTGGCCTTTTTGCTTGCATGATTCCGTACCATGGCAATTGCAATTGCCTTGGCATTGGCATGGCACTAATCTGGCCTTTTTGCTCGCACCTTGCCCGTTTGTACCATGGCAATTGCAGGCAAGGTGGTTGGCTTTGCTGCCAATGATCTTAACAAGGTGGCCAACACCAAGGGCTTCATGGCTTATCTGATCAAGGTGAGTTGGACGCATGACTGGTGTTAAGTGAGGGTGCACCGATTTTGCAGGAAAGATGTTTGGATTCGCTGCCAATGATCGCAACAAGGGGGGCAACACAAAGGGCTTCATGGCTTCTTTTCATGTATACAATGGGTGCATAACTATTTTGGAAAATACGCAAATTTCAGTTTGCGTTTTGCGTTTATACGCGAGCAAAATTCGCACGCTGTGTTTTAGGCGTAGATTCACCAAAATACGCACCGGCTGACCGCGAAAAAAAAAACCAAAATTTCCGCGACAGCTCACGAGCCAAGCCTCTTGGCAGGCTTTACTGCCTGGGCAGAGCCGAGCCGAGCCGTCCCGTCCCGTCGAGCTGCGTCCTGGGCTCGGCTCGCAGTCTCCCTTTAGCCGAGCCGGTGCCGGTTCTTTGGCTCGACGGGCCCCTACACGGGCTCTGTGCTGGCTCGTCGACACGGGTTCTGTGCTGGCTCGTCGACGACCAGCGTGACTCAGGTTGCGCTGGTTCGGTTTACCATAAAAATCAAAGGCAGATTTGCACAGAAGCAGCGTGATTATTAATGGCGGATATGCGTCTGGCACCATGCGTTATTTATGGCCATCCCTAGCAATCCACCCTTGAATACACGCCTCCCCACTAGGCTTGAGCAACGGGTCGGGTCGACATTTGCGGAGGGTCGACCCGACCCTCGGGTACCCAACCCGACCCGACCCGACCCGACCTACAAAACCCGACCCGTCGGGTCGGCTTATTACCCGTCCCTGCCCCTATGCCAACCCGACCCGACCCGACCCGAAATCGGGTCAGGTAGTACCCGACCTATTAAACCCGGGTCGGGTTGACATTTCCTGAGCTCCGACCCGACCCGACCCGAACCCGACATCGGGTAGGGCAAAGTCGGGTCGGGTCGGGTCGGGTCGGGTTCATGCTCAAGCCTACTCCCCACCCACCTTACTCCACCTACTTAGATTCCGTTGCACAAGGGTTGCGCTACCGCATCACCACCTAGAACCGCACCACACCGCATCCCACGCGCAACATCACGGATGCGATTTATGCGGGCGAGCCAAGCCAACCCAAGCCAACCCAAGCCAACCCAAGCCAAAGGTGGCTCCCGAGCTGGCTGGCTTGTGACAAGCCGACCTGGCTCGGCTCGGCTCGTTGGAAGGACTTGCCTGGCCTGGCTTGAGCCGAACCGGGCTTGGCTTGGCTTGTGCTCATGTCTGCTGTGCCTAGGCTTACCTCGCCATTATGCCTATGTGCTGAGTGAGTGCCGGCCCGAGTGGCTCGACTTCTGGAGGTACTTTACTGATGGCTCTTGATGATGGCTCTTGATGATACATGATGCTTTTTCCTCCACCTCTCTCTTTGTCACCCCTTCTCTGCCCCGCCCCGCCTTTTCGTCCCCATCAGTGCTGAGCGAGTGCCGGCCCAAGTGGCTCTACTTCTGGAAGGCCTTCACTGATGGATCTCGATTGCTTCACCATGCTCCCCCTCCCCCTCCACTCTCCCTTTCCTTCTGTCTCTTCCCCTACCCCTCTGCAGGTGCTGAGCGAGTGCCGCCCCGAGTGGCTCTACTTCTGGAAGGACTTCACAGATGGGTCGCGCAACCTGCTGAACGAGGCAATCAAGGTGGGTGGGTGGGGCTTATGTGGGTGGGGCTTATGTGGGTGGGGCAAGGTGAGTTGACGGGGGAAGGTGGGTGGGTGGGGACCGAGTTTATTGTCTGGCGGAGTAAGCGAGGCGAGAGCTCTCTGATGGGCCGTGCAACCTGCTGAACGAGGCAATCAAGGTGGGTTGATGGGTGGGATCAAGGTGGGTTGATGGGTGGGATCAAGGTGGGTTGATGGGTGGGATGAGGGGGAGGTTACAGCAGGGGGGTGAGGAATTTGATAATGGGGATAAGGCAAGGCAAGTGTTCGGACTTTCACTAACGGGTCTCGCAACCTGCTGGATGGGAAATGGTGCTGGTAGAGCGAGAGCTGATGGAGTGTGGCCGGATGGTGGGGGAGGAACGAGAGAGCGAGTTCAATCTGAACTTGTTGCCTTACCCTCCCCGTTTCCAAGGTGGTTGGGGAGCTGGATAGGGGGAAGGTGCTGGTAGAGCGAGAGCATAAGGAGTGCGAGCGGATGGTGGTGTCAGGCTGGTCAGCCATTTGCCTCTGTTTGCCACTGTTCCCCACGTGCTCACACACTCTTCCCGTACCCACTTGCAGGTGGACCAGAAGGGATTGGCGGAGGTGGTTGGGGAGCTGGACAGAGGGAAGGTGAAGGTGTTGAGCGAGAGCTGAAGGAGTGCAAGCGGCTGGTGCGAGTTCAAATCTTGTCACCCTCCCCTCCCCGTTTCCCCCCTTCCTTCTGTGTACCCTTACAGGTGGACCAGAAGGGGTTGGCAGAGGTGGTTGGGGAGCTGGACAGAGGGAAGGTGCTGGTCGAGCGAGAGCTGAAGGAGTGCGAGAAGATGGTGGAGGAGGAGAAGAAGAAGGAGGAGGAGAGGGAGAAGGAGAAGAAAACGAAAGAGGAGGGAGAGAAGGGGGAGGGTGAGGGTAAGGATGGTGGGAAGGCAGATAGTGAGAAGAGTGGCGAGACAAAAGGAGAGGGGGAGAAGGAAGGGAAGGGAGAGGGAGGAGGAAAAGGGGATGAGGGGGAGAAAAAGGAGGAGAAGAAGGAGGAGGAGAAGAAGGAGGAGGAGAAGAAGGAGGAAGAGAAGAAGGAAGATGAGCTACCATTGAAGCATGCGGATACACAGAGGGCCATGCAGCTGTTCTACGACGAGGATGTGGTGCGATGGCACGCCAGCGTGCACGGGCTGATAGATGAAATGGTGAGAGTTGGTCGCTAGTAGTGGTTTGAGGCGCGTTGAATCATGCAGACGACACCCATAGAGCCATGCAGCTGTTCTATGACGAGGATGTGGTGCGATGGCACGCCAGCGTGCATGGGCTCATAGACGAGATGGTAGGTCCACAGCATGGCATGGCGTGGCATGGCGTGGCATGGCGTGGCATGGCATGGCATGGCATGGCATGGCATGGCATGGCATGTCATGGCATGGCATGGCATGGCATGGCATGGCAGGCATGGGAACGTGCACAGCCTGATGGACGAGATGGTAAGCGTCCCTCTCCGGCGGTGGGTTGAGGGGCGTCCAAGCACACACATCACGTACCCTTGGAGCCATGCAGCTGTTCTACGAGGACGATGTGGTGCGATGGCACACCAGCGTGCACGGGCCCATGGGGTTCGGTTTGTTGTACTAACCTACTGACTTGATGGAAATAAGGCCTCCGCAGCCCACCTCTAACACATCTACGACCCCAGCACGGGCTCATAGACGAGATGGTGAGGCTTGTGTCATGCACGTGGCATGGTTTGAGTTGAGGTGCGGGTAAGCATGCACACCACACACCGATAGAGCGATGCAGCTGCCTGCTGTATGACGAAAGTGTGGTGTGTTGGCACGGCAACGTGCACGGCCTGATGTATGCGATGGTGAGAGTCCCTCTCTGACACTTGTTGAGGTGCATTTAAGCATGCACATCACACACACACACACCGAGCCAGGGTGGCTTTTGCGCTGCTGCAGCATCGAGATTACCCCCCTTCTTCCATCTCTTGCATCTTCTCTCTTCTCCCGTCCTGCAGAACGCCAGTGCTGAGAATCTCGCTCGAAAGTTTGGCTCGGACCCCAAATCGACGTCCTTCACACTTAGTAAGTTTGGCGCGGCCGGCCCGTCGTGAAACAGTCTTCTCACTTGAAATTCTAGTGTGTGCTACGTGACTCTGGTGCGCCTTACCCTAGGTTTTGGTCGGATCATACCAGCCAAGTGCGCCTCTAGTACATTCCCCAATGCCTCCTTCATACCAGCCAAGTAATGCAGCTTCTTTACCTCTCCCTGCTGCCGTTCCTTCGTTCAAGTGCTGCCTGCAGAATTTTCAAGAGCTTCTCAAGAGCTTCTTGAGTTGAATTGGTTTTGTAGAATTCTCAAGAGCTTCTTTACCCCTCGCCTCCCTGCAGCCTTTCCTTGGTTCTGTGGCGCCTGCACTCTCTGGCGTTCCTGGTGCCCTCCCTGTTTGCCGTCCCCCCTCCACCCCTGCAGTCTTGGCATTGATTTTTGAGGCGCCTCAAAAATCCCTTCACTCCTGCAGTCTTGGCATTTATTTTTGAGGCGCCTCAAAAATCCCTTCACCCCTGCAGTCTTGGCATTGATTTTTGAGGCGCCTCAAAAATCCCTTCACCCCTGCAGTCTTGGCATTGATTTTTGAGGCGCCTCAAAAATCCCTTCACCCCTGCAGTCTTGGCATTGATTTTTGAGGCGCCTCAAAAATCCCTTCACCCCTGCAGTCTTGGCATTGTGAGACTTTGTTGATCTCCGCAGAAAAAACTGGTGGAATGTGACAAGTGGAAGGAGGCTGAGGAGGAGGCTGTTAGTTTGTGCTTTGAGGCACCTCCATCAAAGCGAGACCCCCTCTCTGGTTGCCCTCCCTGCTTCCCTTTCCCCCTTTACTCCTGCAGTCTTTGGCGTGCTGAGGGATCTCGTTGATCTCTTCAAGAAGAACCTGGTGGAGAATGAGGAGAAGACAAAGGCCGAGGCGGAGGGTGAGGAGGAGGAGGATGCTGAACAGTGCTGTGAGGCGTTGAATGATTACCAAACCCTCCCTTCCCCCCTTCCTTACTTCGCTGGCAGTCTTTGGCGTGCTGAGGGACTTTGTGGATGTCTTCAAGGCGAATCCGGTGGAGTATGAGAAGAAGAAGAAGGCGGAAGAGGAAGCTGCCAGAGAGAAGCTAAAGCCCGCTGTGAAGCCCGCTGTGAAGCCTGCTGGGAAGCGCACTGAGCCCATGCCCCCTGTTTTTCCTCCCTGTTTCCTCTCGCTGTGGCCCTTCCTCCCTCCCTCGCCCACAGTCTTTGGTGTGCTGAGAGACTTTGTGGATCTCTTCAAGAAGAATCTGGTGGAGTATGAGAAGAAGAAGAAGGCCGAGGAGGAGGCTGCCAGGGAGAAGGCGAAGCCCGCTTTGAAGCAGCAGAGGGAGCAGCGGGAGCAGCAGCGGGAGCAGGAGAAGCAACAGAAAGCGCAGCAGGAGAAGCAGCAGCAGCAGCAACAGCAGCAAAGGCAGGACGCGGCAGCAAAAGCCGCAGCAGTGGAGGGTGAGGAGGAAGAGGACGAGGAAGGGGAGGGGAGTGAGGAGAGCGAGGAGGAGAGAAGAGGAGCTGGGGGCGGAGGGGGGGAGGTTGCCCCAGGGGTAGGGGGGGCAGCGCGAGCAATGCTGGCAGGGGCGATCACTAGAAGGAGAGCACCAGTGGATGAGGATGAGGACAGCGAGGAGGATGATTGGAGCGATTAGAAGCACCAGGGAAGGTGGAAGGGGGGGGGGTCCCCAGGGGTAGGGGGGGCAGTGCGGGCAATGCTAGCAGGGGCGATCACGAGGAGGAGAGCACCAGTGGATGAGGATGAGGACAGCGAGGAGGATGACTGGAGCGACTAGAGGGGTATAGAAGATGAGGTGCAGCAGGGGTGGAGGGGGGGAGAGTGCCCCAGGGGTAGGGGGGGCTGCGCGGGCGATGCTGGCTGGCAGGGGCGATAACGAGGAGGAGAGCACCAGTGGATGGACAATGAGGAGGACAACTGGAGGGACTAGAGGGGTATAGAAGAGAAGGTGCAGCAGGGGAGGAGGGGGGAAGAGTGCCCCAAGAGGGGGGGGGGTGGGGGGGGGTACTGCACGGGCAATGCTGGCAGGGGCGATCACGAGGAGATGGGCGCCGGTGGATGAGGATGAGGATAGTGAGGAAGACGACTGGAGTGACTCGTGGGCGAATGGGTGCCGGTATGGGGCAGTAAGGGGCGGTATGGGGCGGTATGGGGCTGGAGCAATTTTGAGGAGACGGGCACCGGTGGATGAGGACAGCGAGGAGGACGATTGGAGCGACTAGAGGGGGATGAGGGTGGAAGGAATTAGTGATCGATCACGAGGGGACAGGCGCTGGTGGATGCTGACGAGGACTGAGTCAGACCAAAACAAGGACAGCGAGGAGAGGAGGACGACTGGAAGATGTTAGGATCGGAGGGCCAGGGAGGGATGAAGTGGTTCCGGCAACTGTAAGAGCGGACCTCTGCTCTGCTGCAACCTATGGGAATCGCCGAGCCTAATCGTGTTTGGAGGGCCAGTAGTCAAGGGAGGTGTAACTAGGTTAGGGTGTATGCGGTGGTGGTGTGGTCGTTTTTTGTTTCTAATTTAGCGTGCGGGTATCCGCAGTGTAAGAGATGAGTTCAGGGGGAAGTGTGCTACCATAGTTACTCCCTATTGATTTATAATTTGTACCAGAGAAGGCGTTTAGTGGACTGAGTGTTTTGTGAGATGTTTTGCGCCTGATAAACTGTTTTGATCATGCAATCATGTGGTTGCTTCCAGGGCAGGCCCCCAGAAGTCAGGAAAATTTTCCTGATTCAGGAAAAAAACAGGGTGTTGAGGGGTACCAGTCCTGATTTGCTTGCTAGGGTTTTGTTTTTGGCATTTCCTGAAATTTCAGGGTTTTTTTGTAAGGGATAAATGTTAGCTCAGGTTTTTTTTGTAAGGGATCCTGAAATTTCGGACTTGTATCGAGCATGGGTTCTGAGGCTCTGCGAGGGAAGAGATTCCCTCCGCCCCTGCAATCTCGTCGCCCCCCCCCCCTTTACTCAGCCCTCCCCCCTCTCCCCCCCACCAATTGTCGATTCCTGTGTCAAACATGTGTATTTGTCATGTTTGTATAGACTGTATAGAGTCACCTCTTAGAGCATACAAAACTTAGATATATTTGTGTGTACTCTCACTTTACCATTATTCAATTATTCTGATATGGTATCACGCGTAGGTAGGATCCCCCCCCCCCACCTACCGCTTCCGCTCATGCCCCCTAGCGCCCCTCCTGGGCCCCGTCGCGCTCCTCCCAGGCCCCGTCGCGCTCCTCCCAGGCCCCCTAGCGCCCCTCCTGGGCCCCATCGCGCTCCTCCCAGGCCCCGTAGCGCCCCTCCTGGGCTTCGTAGCGCCCCTGCCAGGCCCCGTCGCGCCCCTCCTGGGCTTCGTAGCGCCCCTGCCAGGCCCCGTCGCGCCCCTCCCAGGCCCCGTCGCGCTCCTCCCAGGCCCACTAGCGCCCCTCCTGGGCCCCGTCGCGCTCCTCCCAGGCCCCGTAGCGCCCCTCCTGGGACTCGTCGCGCCCCTCCTGGGCTTCGTAGCGCCCCTCCTGGGCCCTGTACCGCCCTCCCAGGCCCCGTCGCGCCCCTCCCAGGCCCCGTCGCGCCCCTCCCAGTCCCTCTAGCGCCCCTCCTGGGCCCCGTCGCGCTCCTCCCAGGCCCCGTAGCGCCCCGTCGCGCCCCTCCTGGGCCCCGTAGCGCCCCTCCTGGGCCTCGTCGCGCCCCCTCCTGGGCTTCGTAGCGCCCCTCCTGGGCCCTGTAACGCCCTCCCAGGCCCCGTCGCGCCCCTCCCAGGCCCCGTAGCGCCCCTCCTGGGCCTCGTCGCGCCCCTCCTGGGCTTCGTAGCGCCTCTCCTGGGCCCCCCCGTCGTGCCCCTCCTGGGCCCCGTAGCGCCCCTCCTCGGCCGCGTCGTACCCGTCGCCGCCGCCCGGCCCCGTCGTGCCCGCCCGGCGCCGTCGCGCCCGCCCGACCCCGTCGCCGCCGCCCGGCCCCGTCGCGCCCGCCCGGCGCCGTCGCCGCCGCCCGGCCCCGTCGCACCCTGCCCGGCCCGTCGCGCTCGCCCGGCTCCGTCGCAGCCGCCCGGCCCCGTCGCACCCGCCCGGCCCCGTCGCACCCTGCCCGGCCCCGTCACAGCCGCCCGGCCCCGTCGCACCAGCCCGGCCGCCGTCCCGCTCGCCCGGCCCCGTCGCACCGGCCCGGCCCTGCCGCACTCGCCCGGCCCCGTCGCCCCAGCCCGGCCCCGTCGCGCCCGCTCGGCCCCGTCGCGCCCGCCCGGCCCCGTCGGGCCGGCCCCGGCCCCGTCCTCCTCACTGGTACGGTTCCCCCCCCCCCCCCCCCCCCCCACCCCGCCCTGCTCCGTGCCGCCCTGCACCGCACTGCACCGCACTGCACCGCACTGTACCGCACTGCACCGCACTGCACCGCACTGCACCGCACTGCACCGCACTGTACCGCACAGTACCGCACTGCACCGCACTGTATCGCACTGCACCGCACCCCACCTAGCTGCACCGCCCTGCACAGCACTGGACTGTTCCTGATGGCGGCGGAGCTTCGCTTCGACGCTGAAGGTCAGCCCCTAGAGTTCGAGGCGTGGCTTGCCGACCTCCGCCGCCAACTCACTGGCCAGCGGCAGGATGGTGAACCGCTTCCCGCACACCTTGACGGTACGCTCCCCTGCCCAGACCCTCCTGCTATTCTGCCCGCTGACCCCACACCCACTGAGCGTGAGTCTACTGCTGCCACTGCCCGTGCGCGCTCTGTCTGGCTTTCTCGCGATGCTGTCGCCCAGCTTGCCATTAGCAACGCCCTCCCCACGTCCGAGCGTCCTCGCTTTAGGTCCCTCACTACTGCTCAGGCATACTTAGATGCTGTCATCAAGCGCTATTCCACCCCTCCGGCTGCCTCGGTGGGTCGCCTGATCCTCCCGCTGCTCTTTCCTGACCTTGCTTCGTTCCCCACTGTCTCTGACCTCGCTGCCCACCTGCGCTCGATAGAGGAGACCTGGCGCGCCGCATGCACTGACGCACAGCTTAGAGCCCACCAGCCGCCCATTACCTCTACCCTCTACCTGCTTGCCACCCGCCTCCCTGACCGCCTAGCTGTCGCCCGCGACCGCTTCCTTAGTGTTCACCCCGCAGACCTCACCCTCACTGACTTTGTCGACACCCTGACTGTGATAGAGACCCGTCACCGCTCCATCGCCCAGGCGAGCGGTGTCGTGCCGGTCCCTATCTTTCAGGGTTGTGCCCCCGCTCAGTGTACCTTCTCCGACGGCTCTGCCGCAGTGGCTGAGACTGCTGCTGCAGCGCAGGCCCGTTCTGGGAAGGGCCGCCGCCCCAAGGCTGGGCGCGGCGGAGGGGGCGGCGGGGGTGCGGGCGGGGGTAGTGGTGGGGTCGGGTCGCCTGGTGCTGGAGCGGACGAGGGGACCCTGCCCAGTCCAGCTGAGTCGCCGCCCCTGCCGTTGCAGCAGCCGCAGCAGCCGCCGCAGTCGCAGCCTTCGCAGCAGCCGCAGCAGCCGTCGCAGACGCGGCAGACGAGTGTTCTCCCGCCAGGGTGGCCCGGCGCTGGCGGTGGACGGGCGCGTGGTGGTGTGCCGCGTGGTGGCTCTGCCGGCGGGCGTTGTCAGTACCAGATCCAGACCGGTCCTCGCCGCGGTTTCGTTTGCGGTAAGATCGGTCACTCCACTCCCCGCTGCTTTCGTCGCCTGGACGACCTCTTTCGTCAGCGTTTCGGCCCGTCGCCAGACCTCCCGGACTGGCACAGTTTGCTTAGTCGTCAGATTTTGATCTTTGATATGGACATGGATGCCATTGTTTCTGCTCTGCATGTGATGTATGCTGATGACTCTAGTGTGCTTCCGACTTATTACTCACTGTTGCCTAGTGTAGGTGTGCCTAGCTTAGCCTCCCCTGCTGCGTCAGGCGTAGGATCCCCTGCTTTGTGTAGTCTTGGTGCTTCTGCCGTCGTTCCGTCGCCAGACCCCTCGGCTTCGCTTTCCTTCACCTTGGACTCTGGCGCCTCTCGGTGTTTCTTCCGCGACTCCACCACCCTGACGCCGCTTCCTGTTCCTGCTGCCGTTTCTCTTGCTGACCCCTCCGGCGGCCCAGTAGTCGCCCGCAGTTCCACCACCCTTCCCTGTCCGGCGGTTCCTTCGGGCTCTCTTACAGGTCTGCATATCCCCTCGTTCTCCAGGAACCTAGTTGGTGTCGGCTGCCTCCAGGACCTTGGCGTCACCACTACGTTCCCTGGTCACGAGCGGTATGCTGTCTGTACCGAGGCCGCCACTGGTGCCCCCCTGTCCACGTTCCCCCGGGACCCGGTGTCCGGCCTGTTCACTCTGGACACCATGCCCCCCCCGGCTGGAGCGCCCCCTCAGGTGGCTGTGTCTACCCAGGTTGCTGCTGCCTGCTCCTGTCGCTCCCTCACTCACCCGACCCTCCTGTGGCACCACCGCCTAGGTCACCCTGCGCTCCCGCGTCTGCGTCACATGTCCCAGCACGGTCTTGTCCTTGGTCTCCCAGGTTCACTCCCCGCGTTTCCCTCCTCCCCAGCTCCACCTTGCACGCCTTGTGTCGAGGGTCGGCTTCGCCGTGCCCCTCACTCCTCCTCGTTCCCCCCTACCGCCGCGCCGCTGCAGACCCTGCACCTGGACGTCTGGGGCCCCGCCCCCGTCCCTGGGCCGCGTCGCGAGCGCTACTTCCTTGTGCTTGTCGACGACTTCACTCGTTACACCACAGTCTTTCCCCTGGAGCGCAAGGCCGACGTGCCTGGCGCCCTCATCCCCTGGCTTGTCTCTGCGCGTGTCCACCGCGGTCTCCCTGTCTTGCGTCTTCACTCAGACCGTGGTGGCGAGTTTGCCTCAGGTGTCCTTGGTCGCTTTTGTCGTGCGGAGGGCATCACCCAGACGTTCACCCTACCGGACTCCCCACAGCAGAATGGGGTCGCTGAGCGACGCATCGGCTTGGTCATGGAGGTCGCTCGCACCTCCATGGTCCATGCCGGTGCACCCCATTTTCTGTGGCCGTTCGCTGTGCGCTACGCTTCTCACCAGCTTAACCTGTGGCCGCACCCTCAGCAGCCGCAGGTTTCGCCGACCCGTCTGTGGACTGGGTCTCCTGGTGACGCGTCTGCGTTCCACGTCTGGGGCTGCCTTGCTCACGTCCGTGCCTCCGGCACGGACAAGCTCACTGCCCGCACCCTTCCCTGCGTCTTCCTCGGTTTTCCCCTTGACGCGTCCGACTGGCACTTTTACCACCCGCCGTCTCACCGCTTCTTTCACTCTCGTGATGTCACCTTTGACGAGTCCGTCTCCTACTATCACCGCTTCCCCCACCGTGGTCCCCCGGTTACCCCCCCCCTGTTCCTGGTCACCCCTTCCCCGGTAGTCCCTGCCCCTCCTCCTCCTCCTCCCCGTCCCGCCCCCTCTGGTGTCTCCCATGTCACCCCCCTTCCGTCCGTGGACCCGGTTGAGGAGTCTTCTGACTCTGGTGGCCCTCCGGTGCAGTCCTCGCCGGCCGCCCCTCCCCAGGTGTCCCCTCCCCAGGCCCCTCCTCTGCCGCCACTACAGCCGTCGCCGTCGCCGCCGCCGCCGCCGCCGCCGCCGTCGCAGCCCCCGTTCGCTGACTCTGGGGGTGCTCGTCCCGGTCGCCCTGAGGGTGGTCCCTCTGGGGGTGCGGGTGTGGAGAGTGCAGGTGGTAGCCGAGGAGCAGCTTGCGG